TTAATAATAATATTAATTGTATTTATTCTATAAAATTTTTTAAGTTATTAATATATATTATAAGGATATTTATGAAAAAAGTAACTAATTATTAACAATATGTACATAAAACATAGAACATAGTATCTTTTATATCTGTATAATACAATTCTATTCTAATAAGAATTATATGTACAAGAATTCTTAGAATTAGAATTAGAATTTTAAAGGATTTTTTTGTAGATAAATTTATTCAATGATATGCATTATTATTATAATAAAATACAATTATATAATAAAGTACATTAAGTATATCATTATTTATTATTATTATAATATTATTATTATAAATTTATTAAAATTATTTTTTTATATATTATTTATAAATTATGATTTTGAAATATAAAGGTATATATATATATATATATAAGATATATATATATATATATATAAGAGAATCATATTTATGTACATTCATATATTAAAATTATTAATGAATCTCTATTACTTGAAACGTTATTATATTAATATATTAAAGAAGAAAAGAAAATATATTTTTGGAAAATAATACGGACTTTAATATCAAAAACAGAAAAAGCACATTTTGTCCATATAGTTTTAATTGAGAACATTGTACTGAATGCAGCAATATTAGTAATACGTGTATAGAATGCGTAAAATGAGAACTGATCGAGCTTATTTTTTCTTATAAGAATTGTTTCAATATTATTGGTACACATATTTTATTGTTTAGTCTATTTCGAATTAAAAATTTTTATTTATTAAAAATACAAAATATTTCAAAACTATAATATTATTTAAAAATATAAATTAGAATGTTAACATTTAATTATATATATATAATTATGGCAATATCAATTAATAAAAAAATATTTAATTTATAGATCAATAGATAAAAAATTGATAGACTTAATAGTTTAATTTAATTTTTTAATGAATATTATTTTATGAATATAATAATTAAAAATTCACAGAGAAAAAATACTTAACAGAATTACTTATATTTAATTACAATTTTTAATTTTTTTTACTATTATAATATGATTTTATAATCAATAAATCAAAATAAAATACGTTTTCTACGTTCTTTCGTTTTTTGTCATCAGGAAAATCGTTATAAAATATGAATTATTAAATTTTATTTTATTTTATCAATCTTCTTCATCGTCCAATTTATTTATTTAATATCGATGCATTTCAATCGAACGAAATTTTTTTCAATATTTTTTTTTGTAGCATCTTCCACATAATAATTTCAATTAATAACAAAATAATCTATATTAACTTTGAACTGAATCAAATAAAGAGAAAAGATTCTCATAAATTTTTTTTTTATTTCTTTTTTTTGAATTATTTTGTTGCAAAAAAAATTTGAAAATTAAGAGTTTCTAATGAGATTCTTTCTAATGAAAATCTTTCTAAAGAATCTTCTAAGTAATCTTGAATTAGTTAAAATCAAAAAAAATTTACATATTATATATATATGATATATATGATATATATCTGATATATATATATGATATATATTTTATTAATATGCGTTCATAAGATTTTTTTTATGATTTTTATGATTTTGATTATTGTTATATTTGTTAAATAAAAAAAATAATATTCTTTATAAAAATATTAAAAAAAACAAAAATATTAAAAAATAATAAAAATATTTAAAAAAATATATTTTGACTAATAACAAAAATAATAGAAGTAATAATTTTTTTATGATTCTTCAGAAAAAAATAATTTTTAAAAAATTAATAAAATAAATAATAAACTAATTATATTGTTAATTGGATTCAAGATTTTTCGTATTATAATCTTCATCAAATATTTGCAATTAATGTTAGCATTTTATATATAATATAATTTCACTAATGTGCATTTTCTTGTAACCGATTGCACCAATGATCGCGAAGGAATTTTGTGAAACGTGTTAAGTCTAGCGTAAATGGAAGAACGTGATAGAATATATATTAAAAGATATATCTAGTTAAGTTGAAGACAAGTAGAAATAATATAAAATTAATATTGAAAAATTTGTTTTTACTTAAAAAGTATTAATTTTTTATTTGTTATATATTATATACTTTTTCATTTTAGATATATAATATTAATTTTTATCAATTTAAACAAATTTTTAAATTAAAAAAATTTGATTAAAATTAATATGTATATTGCATATTATAAATATGGAAAGAAGAAGAATTAAAACTTTCGTTTATTAGATTATTTTATTAACTGCAACTTGAATTCGAAATGATTTAAAATTTCATTATAGGAATATGTTTAAGTTTAATTAAAATTCGTCTTTTAAATTTTAATCTACGAAAATGATTGATTAATTAACAAATAAAATTGTTTTAAAATAAATAAAATGAGATATATAAAACTTGAATATAAACCAAATTTT